TCCTTTAAGATTCGAGATGTTAAGATTTCAAACCTTCAGCGTACAGATTACACCAGGGTTTCCTAGCCTGGGCAACTTTAAATCCTAACTTGGACTTCAACTCCCAGAATTCACGTCTGGCTGGAGAATTCTGGGAGTTGAAGTCCACGCATCTTAAAGTTGCCAAGGTCGGGAAACCCTGGATTATACCCTCCGTTGTGAAGCCACAGCACTTTCTAGAAAGCCGTGAGATTACTGGCAAGCTGCTTCCCTGAAAATTATTTCTGCGCCTATTCGGAACCCAATTGACTTACAGCTGTGCTTCTTCAGATCCAGGATTTCATACAGAAAAAACTGCTCCCTCAGGCTCAACAGGTGCAGCTGGAGACCCAGCAGCTTCACGACAGGATAGGCCGTGAGGTCCAGCATTTCAAAACCATTGCCTTGCCTTGTCTGCTGACTCGCCAGATAGCTGGGTGAGTCATCTCCTGGCGTCTCCATGTGGCTGGGTGTAACTCTGTTGGGGGGGGGCAGAGGGTAAATGTTTTGAGTCCTTCTCCAGCGATTTTCCTTTTTTCCAAAGCTCGAAAGAGCCTTATGTTACTACCTTTTTTTTTTCCCTTTGAGAAATAAATCAGCTGGGAGAAATGACTTGGATAGCTTGCCATTTGGTGAGGGAGGCTGAAAAGCAGATGGTCTGCCAGTAAAAGCAGTAAAATAATCCCGTTTTTCTTCTCCTGAGGGTCATTTCCTACAAATTGGGTTTACTGAACGTAATTTTTACCTTTCTTGGCACTTGTCTTTCCTTGGTGTAAAATTCAGGAGTATTTTTGGCCCCGGATTTTTTGTATATAAAGAAAATAGACTTGATTTTCTTTTTAAGCGTGGAGGATTGGCATGCCTTAATGATGGCCGATGGAATGTAGGTCCAATTGCAGGGAGGAAAAAAACCCTATTTCTGCCATTGTCTTCCAGGTCTCAACCCATCCCAGCCCACAAGCTTTCTATCCATTGCTTAAGCCGGACAGCACTGTCCGAAAATCGGGCCTTTCTTAACGTATGCAATGGAATTAGCTTTCCCCTTTATAAGGTATGATATGCCTCTGATTTCCCCTTTATAAGGTATGATATGCCTCTGATGGTCTGATTTGCTGAATTCATCTAAGATGAGTCAGGTGGAACTCTTTTGCATTGTTTTAGAGCTGGCTGTGGCATTCTGGGAGTTGAAGTCCACATGCCTTAAAATTGTCAAGGTTGAGAAACACTGTTTTAGAGACTGTTCACCCTCCCTTCCATTTTCCAGCTTAATCATAATCATTAAGGAATGGAGACAAACTTTGGGGATGGGGGGAATAAAGCGGAAGCAAAAACCACACTTGCTCTATGGAGTGCAAAGGTCGAACGTATCAAACGAAAATCTGATTGATATACATTTCACTCACCACTACTAGTAAAATGGTGTCTTGCAGTCATTGTTCCATTTAGGCATCCTGAAAACTACTAAGCTGATTTTAGAGGAACCCCAGGGCCATATCTACAGCTTTGGAGAGTCACTTGCAGCCATGTAGTGGTTCCTGGCAAAAAAAGGGGGGGGGCAAAAAACACCCATCGGGGAAGTTGGATTTGCTGAACTGCCACAAAAATTGTAAAATAGGTCCGACTCAACTTACAGTGGAAACTCCAGTCCCAATTGTGTGCATCAGGGGTCCCTGGGCCATGGCCCACCACTGGGCCTTGAGCTGTTTGGAACCAGGTTGCGTAAGTGGCAGGCCAGTGTACACATGCACATCCCCACTAATGTGAGCATCCTGCGTGTGTGCTTGCCGCTCACACAAATGGAGCTACATGCGCAGACCCATCCCTCTCCTAATCCCCATCCTCCCGCCAGTCCGCAAAGCGGGAAAGGTTGGGGAACTGGTATGCATAAGTCAAAGACTGCCTGTATAATGCTGACTCAGTATTCAGCTTGCTCTGAACTGCAGTTACAAAGTCTTTTCTGTAAAGCTGTCGCCGTACTAGAAGCCTACGATGTTGCATTGATTTCTTTTTTTTTTTTTTTTCTAAGTGGAGAATGTTCAATCTGCCTTTCATGAGTTGCGTTCCACTTGAGACTGGTCTGGAATCCCATTTCACGTTCCTGTAATCCATGCAATCTCATATATGAGCCATGGTGGCGCAGTGGTTAGAATGCAGTACTGCAGGCTACTTCTGCTGACTGCCGGCTGCCAGCAGTTCAACCGTTCGAGTCTCACCGGCTCAAGGTTGACTCAGCCTTCCATCCTTCCGAGGTCGATAAAATGAGGACCCAGATTGTTGGGAGCAAGAGGCTGACTCTGTAAACTGCTTAGAGAGGATGATGAAGCGGTATATAAGTCTAAGTCAGTGGTTCTCAACCTTTTTAATGCCGCGACCCCCAACCGGTCGTAAGTCGAGGACTACTCAACTGGTGCAGCACCGTTTGCAGAATGGGACTTTTGGCGGGCTCAGCAGGGCAGAGACAGCCTGGACAATTCCTATGGGCTTTTGAAAGCCAATAGAATTAGACTTTATTCAAGAGAGTCTATTCTATTGGCTTTCAAAAGCCAATAGAATAAAAGGGAGTAGCACAGCTAAGGAAAAGGGGAGAAAATGGCGGACTGCGTTGTTTGGCAACCCCCGTGAAATGGTCGTTTGACCCCAAATGGGGTCCCGACCCACAGGTTGAGAACCACTGAGCTAAGTGCTATTGCTATATGATATCTGAGTGGTCTTTCTCACTCTGGGGCCTCTGCTTTCTTAATCTCCTTTAGGCTCCTGAACAGCTCCTTCTCCATATGGTGGAGCTGAAGAAGATGCTTGCTTACCTGCGTGCCCAACTGGGCTCCAAACAAAGAGCTTTGGGAAACCTGCAGCACCAGCTGGATAGTGCCCCAGAGCCTGATGTACCATGTATGGAAACTTCTCCCATTTTTTTTTTGCTGTTTCTTCTCTCTGACCTTGTGTTTAGTTAACGTTTTCAAAAACAGAGGTCATATCCTGCTTCAGACTTTCAATCCCCTCTTCCTGTCCCAGTTTGTAAGCAAAAGGAGACACTACCGGGGGTAGGCAACCTTGGCTCTTTTATGACTCGTGGACTTCAACTCCCAGAATTCCTGAGCCAGCATGGCTCAGCTTGGAAATCTCTCCCTTTCCTCTCAGCATGGCTGGTTCAGGAATTCTGGGAGTTGAAGTCCACGAGTCATAAAAGAGCCAAGGTTGCCTACCCCTGGACTAGATCTAGGAAGTCTCCAAGAACTAGACACACTTGAATGGGAGGAAAAAGGATGGCTAAGCTGTTTTTCTTCTCTGTCCCCAGCCTTGGTGAAAGAAGTGCAGTCCCACGACCAGAAACAAGCCTTTGAGTTGCTGCCTCGCATCCAATGCCTGATGGATCAGTGCCGGTGTTGCATCGAGCGTTGGCCTGAGATCCAAGCTACTCTGGATGCCTGGTGAGTCAAGGGACCCTAGCGGGCATTAGAGGGCCTGGTCAAAGGGAGGAGGGTGTGTGTGTGTGTGTGTGTGTGTGTGTGTGTGCGCGCGCGCGCGTGCCACATTTATACATCTTTTCTGTTCCCTCTCTGTCTAGGTGGGAACAGCCGGGACAGTTTGTTCTACCGCACGAGCGCCGCCATGGTTTCACCTTGCAACAGTGGCTGGAGCGTTGGACCTTGGCTGCCAAGAACCTGCAGCAGCAGCAGATGTGGCTTTGAAAAACAGCCCAAAACCCTGCTGAAGACAGAGCATACACTTCTGCTTCCATCTGGCTGCTGAAAGATGGCTCTTAATTTCATTAAAGGGAGTAAGCAGTTTTCAGCACCTCCCCTCCCCTTCCTCTGTCTCCCCCCTCCTTTTCTTCAAGGAAGGATGGGGGAGGAAATAACGTTGAAAGTACATCTCAACAAGTAGCACCTCTGTGTTTTCTTATGATTTGAAATAAATATTAAGCGTATCCTCATTTCTCTGGCTTTACCTTTTTTCCAACCTTTTTTCTTCCACAACAGCTAAGAGAAACACAATGCTTAACTTTCTTCTCTGTTGTTAGACCTAGCCTTTTTCATTCTCTCCTTGGTGAAGCGGGAAACTTTGAACTGGCTTGTTAGCCACAAAAGAGCTGCTTTCCCTAAATTTCCTAAATTTATTGTCCTTCATACAAGGAGCATTCCGTAAAGTGGAAGGCTCGTTCTGTTGCTGAGCTCCAAGAACATTTCAACCATTGCCAGAGTCTCGACGTGTTTTGAAGCAGCAAGGAGACAAGCTCATCGTTTCACACCTGCAGGAATATAAGCAGATGCCACAGCCTTGGGTAGAACTGCGCTCTATGCTGATGCATTCTTTCGAAACAAGCTGCTTCTATAACGATGCTGGGACATGATGCTCCCAGCGTTCTTCATCCTTGGATATGCTGAAAGGAAGTGCAGTTTTGCCATCTCTGGGGGATGACTAATTTCCAACAGGTAGACCTTGATTAACAACAACTGGTCACTTAGTGACTGTTTAAAGTTATGCTGAACACACACACACATACACACCCCAAAAAAGGTACTGACATCTGGTTCTGGAGTCCCAATAGCAGCACACTCACCCTGTGATCACTTGGCAGCCAGCTTGCTTTTACGGCTGGTTGCAGCATCCCCCAGTCACATGATGTGATTGACAGTGTTTACCCATAGAATGCATCAACTGCTTAACAACCGGTCTTAAATCGAGTCAGCCATATGGGTGCCTCGAGTTACAACCATCATAACTTACGACAGAAATTCCAGGCTCTCTTATGGCTGTAAGTCAAGGGACACCTGTACATGTGAGATTGTAAAGCTGGCTCAGACTGCGACTGCAGCTCTTTAAGAAGCCAGGGAGAAGGGACTACATACAACACAAAATTGCGGCTCCTGAATCAATAAAAGCTTTTAACGATTCGACCCTTTGTTCAATCCATTAATTAAATGAGTGGCCCCAAAGCAAACCTTTTTGAATTTGGTTGGACATGCGGTACTATGTAAAAACATGTTTTTTTTAGTTTATTTCAGGTTTTATATGCCAACTTTCAGAATGAATGTAATTTACAATCAGTATAACAAAAACAAAGTCTACATTTTCCAAAAGTTTCCTGATTGAGATGGATATAATTTTGCCCTCTGAACAGCAGCGACTGTTTAAAGAGCCAGCTCATCGTTTTCCTTATGAAGGCACAGATTGACGCAGATACTTAAGGCCTGCTTAAAAGCAATTAGGAAGGGGGCCATTTCCCCCCCCTCCCCAGAAGGAGTTGAAGCCACCATGGAGAACCTCTTTTTCTTCTTTCAAGAGGCAGAGCCCTGTTTTAAATGGTTTAATAATGGCTAAAGGAGAAGGAGGGGATGGGGTGTGTGTGAGGGAGAGCAGATAGCCTCAGAAATGGCAGTCCTCCTCCAAAACGCCTATGAAAATCCAGATATTTAATGCTGTTCAAAACTTGCTAGTTCTCACTCCTTCAATCAAGAGGAGTAACAGCCATGCCTTTATTTGCCAAACTTCTGCTAATCTATACTTTTAGCCAGTGTGATTGGCTGCTTCCCTGCCTGTCTTCTCTAAAGCTAGAATCAAGACCCGAATTCTATTTTTTTGGGGGGGGGGGTATTTTTACCTATCCCACAAAAGCAAGACTCCCCCCCCCAACTCCCCCCCCCACTATTTTTTGCCCTGCCCAATCCAGAGAGGGTCTGCCCCCCCCTACTCTGCAGCCCACAGCCAGCCAGTTCTCACACCCTCGTTTTAGGCATAGCTTAAAGGAAGCAGAGTCTTCTCCAAAGAAGCCGGTCCTGCTAGCTCTTCTGAGCCCTTCTGAGGTTTTGGGTGCGTAAGGAATGAAGAAAAGGTTCTCTTAAGACGGTTGCATGCTAAATCCGCAACTTGTTATCCAATTCAGCCAGGAGACCCTGAATGTCGCAAACAAAGCGGTAGACGTAGCGCTGGCCACTAGTCTTGTGAATGATGTTCTTGTGGTAATAATAGCGCAGCCCCCGACTCAGTTTCTCGTACGTCATGCGGGGCTTGTTCTTGCGTTTGCCCCAGCGCCTGGCCACCTAGCAGGAAATGAGAGGGAGGGGGGCAGAGGGGAAATGAGCAGGCAGTCCATTGACACTGATAACCAGAAGCCTATTTTATCCCAAGTCATTGCTCAAGCGTTGCTAGTTGTGGCTTGTGGCCAGACAATACACACATGCATTGCCTTGGCCTGTTGTGGCTAGCACAGCATCTCAGGCTAAAGCAGAGAGCATTATGGCAATTGGGGGAGGGGGGGGAAGGGCCACAGTGGACGAGGCCCTGATATTTCTTTCTCTGGAAGTTTGCAGGTACCGGAGTCCATTAAACTCACTGTACTGTTTGCTTCATGATGGCGAGAGGGGGACTCACCTCGTGTGGGTCACAGAGCTTGAATTCCCAGCCGTTCCCTGTCCAGCGGATGAGGGCTTGACAGGAGCCATCTTGGAGCAGCTCCAGCAGAAAACGCCATAACTGGATGGGCCCGGCCCCTGCCAGAAAAATAGGAGATGCACAGAGGTGATTGGGAAACTGTGCTGTGGACTCACGTGAGCAAAGCAGCTCACAGCTATTATTTGCAACCAGAAAAAAATAACGGCCTTCAGGCATGCCACTTAAAAATAGAGGAAAGAAAGAAAAAGAAAAGAAAAAAGAAAAGGGAAGGAAGGAAGGAAGGAAAGAGAAAGAGAGAGAGAGAGAAAGAAAGAAAGAAAGAAAGAAAGAAAGAAAGAAAGAAAGAAAGAAAAAGAAAAGAAAAGCAATCTGAAGAACCTTGAAAAAAGATGGTCTACTTAAATGAGTTGTTTCTCTGCAAACAATTGAAAATACTATATAGGTCAGGGGTCTTCAAACGTGGCCCTTTTATGACTTGTGGACTTCAAGTCCCAGAATTCCTCAGCCAGCATGTCTGGCTGAGGAATTCTGGGACTTGAAGTCCACAAGTCATAAAAGAGCCAAGTTTGAAGACCCCTGATATAGGTGGTTCTTGACTTACACCTATTTCTTCAGTGACCATTCAAAGCTTCCATGGCATTGATAAAAATGACTTATGACCAGTCCTCATGACCACTGCAGCATCCCTTGTGGTCATGTGATCAACATTTGGGTGCTTGGCCACTGGCACATGTTTATGATAGTTACAGCATCCCAGGGTTCGTATGATCACCATTTGTGGTGATTGTGATCTTTCCAGCTGGCCTCTGACAAGCCAAGTCAATGGGCAAGCTAGATCTGCTTAACAAGTGCATGATTCACTTAACAATTGCAGTGACTTGCTTAATAAGATCATAAAATGAGGTACTCCTCACTTAACAACTGCCTTGCTTAGAAATGGAAAATCTGGTCATAAGCTGAGACTACTACAATGCCACAAAGGATTCTTTTGCAATCTACTCCCCACCCCACCCCAAATTACGCAATGGGTAGCACTTCCAAGCTCTATCAACCACTTTCAATATTTTTTTTCTTCCTTCATCACTGCAGTCAAAAGCTCCTGTCAAAGCAGGCTACCATTTTACAGGTACTGTATCCAAAAGCCAGAGGAAAAGAATGGCAGATCCTCAAATATAGGTCCTTCCTAGTTTTAGAATCACAAGTAAGAAGCCACATCATGCTGCCAGTGGATGGGGCACAAAAAAAGGATTATCTGCATTTGACCTTAATGATTGGGCAAGGAATTTAAAAAGTCGTGTAACTACAGACCCTTTAAGATTTGAAGTTTAGTGTCAGCACATTATTAAATTTCTGATATCCTCCAACCTCAACCTTACCTGCCCGATCTCTAGGTAAAGTATTGGTGTTCCTGCTATCAGTCTGGTCTCTGTGTTCCCTTTTTTTCTGGCTCCTGACTGGTGAATCACATTGACAAGAGTCGCTGTCCAAGGCACTGGATTGGCTGCCTGAATCGGGACCAAGGGACTCAATCCAAGGTTCTAGAGATAACAGCAATGGATGGACAGAATCAGGGAAGTTAGCATGAAAACTAGTGATCAAAACCTTAACAGAAAGACAAGAACCACATACACATTGTGTGCATTCACACAGTCCCTTTAACCAGTTTCTTAAAGGCCCAATAGCATTTGGTGCAAATGCATCTAAGCTTGCTTTAAAGCAGCACATGGTTGGTTGGTTGGTTTATGGTTCAGATTATTGTAGAATTCATAGAACTCCATCTGACTGGCCCAAAGTCACCCAGCCGCTTTCATGCATAAGGCAGGACTAAAACTCACGGTGTCCTGGTTCCTAGTCTGGTTCCTTGCTGGCTCAGGAATTCTGGGAGTTGAAGTCCACAAGTCATAAAAGAGCTAAGATTGCCAACCCCTGCTCTAGACCAAATTATAGTATTCTAATTAGAAATCAGAAATCTTTGCTAGAAACTGCATTGACTTAATTTTTGCATTAAAACACATTAATAAGCATGAGGTCAGAGTACATTGATGGAGCTCAGCCACTACTGCCTTAGCATCTTGACTGAATTCAGCTACCACATTAGGCCATCATATGGTTCAGAGGTTGAGACAGGGAATATTATGAACAACACCAACTGCGCTCCCTTAATCTGGTTTAAAGTTAAACACATTGAGCGAGCACAGTGTTGAGGACAGCAGGTTGTCTTGCTCAAAATTAGCCTTATGCTAATTTCGTTTTCATCATTCACATTCCACATGGTGAAAAGGAATTGCGTTTGTAGTAATAGTAACAGTAGTAAAGTTGGAAGAGACCTTGGAGGTCATCTAGTCCAACCCCCTGCTCGGGCAGGAAACCCTACACCATTTCGGACAAATGGCTGTCCAGTCTCTTCTTAAAAACTTCCAGTGTTGGAGCATTTACTGCTTCTGGAGGCAAGCTGTTCCACTGATTAATTGTTCTCACTGTCAGGAAGTTTCTCCTTAGTTCTAGGTTGCTTCTCTCCTTGATGAGTTTCCACCCGTTGCGTCTTGTCCTGCCTTCAGGTGCTTTGGAAAATAGCTTAATTCCCTCTTCTTTATGGCAGCCCCTGAGATATTGGAATACTGCTATCATGTCCCCCCTTTTCCTTCTCTTCGTTAAACTAGACATACCCAATTCTAGCAACCGTTCCTTATATGTTTTAGCCTCCAGTCCCCTAATCATCTTTGTTGCTCTTCTCTGTACTCTTTCTAGAGTCTCAACATCGTTTTTACATCGTGGTGACCAAAACTGGATGCAGTATTCCAAGTGTGGCCTTACCAAGGCATTGAAGATTGGTATTAATACTTCACGTGATCTTGATTCTATCCCTCTGTTAATGCAGCCTAGCACTGTGTTGGCCTTTTTGGCAGCTGCAGCACACTGCTGGCTCATATTTAAGTGATTGTCTACTAGGACTCCGAGGTCCCTCTCACAGTTACTGCTATTGAGCATGGTGCCACCTATGCTGTACTTGTGCATTTGGTTTTTCTTGCCTAAATGTAGAACCTTGCTTTTGTCACCATTGAATTTCATTTTATTAGTTAGTGCCCAGTGTTCAAGTCTGTCCAGATCCTTGCTTTGGGTTTTCAAAGGATAAGTCTTGATGGGGAGATGCAGGATTCTGGCATCTGCTTTAGTGATGAGTTGGCCAAGGGATGTTGCACTGCTGGTTGAGGAATTCTGGGAGGTGAAGTCCCTCCATCGTAAAATTGCTGAGGTTGAGAAACACTGCACTAAGATTCCTCAGTGAGCAAATGGCAGGGCCTTTGTATGCTTGCCATTAAATCCCAGAAATTTCTCATGGAACTTTTTTAGGTTAAGATGTGAAAAAAATCATGTTTTTTTTTTAAAAAAAACCCCCAAAACAAATAGCCTCCTTAGCTACCTAGCAATGATAATGCAAGCTGAGAAACATCACCAAAGAAAATTCTAAAGCATGTTGAAAATGAATTTTAAAAAATCACGAACTATCATGGAGGATAGTTTGGAGGACAGGAATTATACAAAAGTCATGCAAAGGAGAGATTTTACCTTCCTTCCGCTGTTCTTGCTGATCCCCCGGAGGAAGCTGTGCAGAAGACACCTGTTCTCCAGGAGAATCAGAATACAGAACGAACCAAGGCTGAGGAACTGGTGGGGGGCAGCTGGAGCCCTCGAAGCTGTGGGGGACACTGTCTTGTTGGAGCACCATTCTAGAAGCTGCGGGAGATTCAAGGCACAGTGTCATCAGAATCATGGGAAAATGGTGGTCCTACCACTTTTCTCCCCCGGTGTCTACCTATAACAGTGGTTCTCAACCTTTCTAATGCCGCGACCCCCAGCCGGTCATAAGTCAAGGACTACTCAACCGGTCATAAGTCGAAGACTACTCAACTGGTGCAGCACCGTTTGCAGACTGGGGCTTTTGGCGGGCTCAGCAGGGCAGAGACAGCCTGGACAATTCCTATTGGTTTTTGAAAGCCAATAGAATTAGACTCTATTCAAGAGAGTCTATTCTATTGGCTTTCAAAAGCCAATAGAATAAAAGGGAGTAGCACAGCTAAGGAAAAGGGGGAAAAAATGGCAGACTGCATTGTTTGGCGACCCCCGTGAAATGGTCGTTTGACCCCAAATGGGGTCCCGACCCACAGGTTGAGAACCGGTGGTCTATAATCATAGGTTCCTATTGGAGGCAAGAATTCCAGATTATAAAAATCCTCAGGTAGCAGTCTCTGAAGAGAACAGCTTCTGGATCCTGAGAGTCAAAAGACCCTGAAGGAATTCAGGGTCTTTTCACCTCTCTCCTAAACAGATGTTGGGGTACAGGTAATGTTGGGGTACAGGTGTGCCAGCCCAACAAGGTGGACCAGATTAAGAAACCAATGCCGTATAGACCATGATTACTTTGGAACAGCTCTAGTAACAGAATTTTGCAAGTCTGAATGTTCTTCCTCCATTCTTTAATTTAGAGAGGGGCTGATCTGAGACATTTTTCTCATATTATTTTCTTGATATTTTCAGGCTCAAACTGCGGTTCTCCGACATTGGCTCGGTAGCAACTCTTCCCCCTTGTCTGTAAGTTATTCTTACAGACCATGTCACCTTCAAGGCCATTCCCTGTGTCCTCTACACAGGGAGAAAACACAGAACATATTTATTAAGCACTTAACTGGGGTTTGTCTGAGTCACAGTTGCCTGGATTCATGCACTGCACTCAGCCATAAGCTGGGATTTATGAACCATGATAGAATGTGCATATCACTTCAGGCTGTATTGTGGTTTGATCAGTTGGGCTTAGGGTGCCAGACACCATTTGATTCACCCTTCCAAATGCAAGGGAAAATTTAAGCAGAAGGAAAAGTCTTGTGATGCTAAGATCTGTACAGATCTGAGGACTGGTCTATCTTTTGAGGCTATGGGTTGTCCACCTCTAGACATTTTGAAGAAAAAAATGGACAATCAACTCTCAAGGATGGTTTAACTGGTTCTGCTACACATTGCAGAAGGTTGGACTAGATGATCTTGTAACCTATTCCAACTGTACAACTTTCCAATGCTCTGATCAATGAGTCCTGGTGATTTCTAATAAGTGCCTTGTCTGGGAAACTTTAAAAGAATTATCATCCACGTATAATGAAAATTGCCTTTTATGCTATACCTATGATACTCCTGTTGTAGTAGTATGGTAGTAGTTATTATTCCTCCAATCCTCATCCACATTTCAGATATATAGCACTTAGCAATAGTACTTAGATTTATATACCACTTCACAGTGCTTTACAGCAGGGGTCCCCAACCCTGGCAACTTGAAGACCTGTGGACTTCAACTCCCAGAATTCCCCAGCCAGCCAGCCCCAGCTCTTTCTAAGTGGTTTACAAAGGCAGCATTTTGCTCCCAATAATCTGGGTCCTCATTTTACCGACCTCAGAAGGATGGAAGGCTGAGTCAACTTTGCGCTGGTCAGAATCGAGCTGAGTTAGCCTGCAGTACTGCATTCAAACCACTGCACCACCACAACAATGTGGCAACTCCCATAATTCCCAGAGAGTTGTGCTGGCAGGGAACCATGGGAGTCATAGCCTAGCCCTTCTAAAGAGAAACACTTTTGGGGAAGGTTGATAGCTGGCAGCCTTACAACATTTCAGCAAAGTTTTTTAAACCTTCACTTCCTCTTGATTCTTTAACTTCAAATTGTCTCAGTTGAAACAGAGAGTTGATTTTTATTGTGCTGTTATGTTGCTTCCTGCTCTGTTTTGCTGCAAGGCTAATTAACTAATTTCAAATAGAATTGGATAGGATTTTTTTTTTTTAAAAAAAGGGGGGATAATAAGGGGAGAGTAGCTTTGCTTAATCATCCCAACATACATATGCACATAGCCATCTAGCCAAGTCATTGCGTTCATGTACTAAGAAATACCCATAAGGACTTGTGACATAGCTCATTTCACTTCCCTTTAAATAGGTACATGCAAGGTATTCTTTCTTAACTGTACCATTTTCAAAATGATTCATTGAAAGGTATACTGATGTGCTTAAAGAAATTTTTCTCCTTCACTGAATGTGCAGCGATAGCTAGGCTATAGTATAGAGTTATAATAGGACCAAATTTAACCAGGAATGATTCCCCTGTATAAGTCAATTTAGATATCTGCAATATGGCTTCCAAGAAAAATAAGTAAAGAAGCTAACTAAAAAAAAAAAAAAACCACAGATGAAATTATTTAACAGATATGAGCAAACATGCCCAATGTTTATGATTAAATATTAAAAGTATAGCATAAATATTTATGTGTTCCAAAGGTTCTGTTCAAAAAAACAACTGGATTTAATATTTAGGTGATGAAGGAGAGATTGTGCCATCAAATTCTTTACTGCAACATTTTTACTTTGATCTATTTCTTTATTTTGCTTTTTTATTTTTCACTCTTTGGTACCTTTTAAGCTTCTGCAGTATAATAAACAAAAAGTTAAAAACTTTTTGTTTTGATTTGATTCTTTTTTGTTTTCAAAGAAAACATATACACACAAATGCAAAATAGAAAACAGATTAAGAACATAAAAGAAAAGCACAAAAGGGGGGTCTAAAAATCTCAAGAAGGTTATAATTTTAAGCTGCAATATTAATAAATGGTTGAATATTTTAGCCTATAGGGCTAAAAAGCACAGTTAAGCTTGAAGCAAAGGATAAATATCAAGAATCACAGCCAACACAGTATAAATTGCCACATGAAATTAGAAGCTACAAAAAAAAAAATGAGTCAAAACTGAGCATCTATTTTGCTTTAAATTTTCCAAACATTGAAGTTTGAATCAACTTTCAGTAAGATTTGACTCATTATGTATGAACTCAGGAGCCACGTTAAACATGTTTAATAAATAAATGAATCTGTTAATCCTCATTTCTTGTCAAATTAAGATTTGATAATTATGAGAGTTTAAGCCCCACAATTCTTCTTCATCACGACATAAAGAAGATATTGAGACTCTAGAAAGAGTGCAGAGAAGAGCAACGAAGATGATTGGGGGACTGGAGGCTAAAACATATAAAGAAGGGTTGTTGGAATTGGGTAAATTTAGTTTAATGAAGGGAAGGACCAGGGGTGACATGATAGCAGTGTTCCAATGTCTCAGGGGCTGCCACAAAGAAGAGGGAGCCAAGCTATTCTCCAAAGCAGCTGAAGGCAGGACAAGCACCTGAAGGCAGGTGGTACCTTGCTCAATAGTAGCAACTGTGAGAGGGATCTCGGAGTCCTAGTGGACAATCACTTAGATATGAGCCAGCAGTGTGCTGCAGCTGCCAAAAAAGCCAACACAAAAAAGCATTAACAGAGGGATAGAATCAAGATCACGTGAAGTATTAATACCACTTTACAATGCTTTGGTAAGGCCACACTTGGAATACTGCATCCAGTTTTGATCACCATGATGTAAAAAAGATGTTGAGACTCTAGAAAGAGTACAGAGAAGAGCAACAAAGATGATTAGAGGTCTGGAGACTAAAACATAAAAGGAACGGTTGCTGGAATTGGCTATGTCTAGTTTAATGAAGAGAAGGATGAGGGGGGACATGATAGCAGTGTTCCAATATCTCAGGGACTACCACAAAGAAGAGGGAGTCAAGCTATTCTCCAAAGTGCCTGAAGGCAGGACAAGAAGCAACAGATGGAAACTAATCAAGGAGAGAAGCAACCTAGAACTAAGGAGAAACGTCCTGACAGAACAATTAACCAGTGGAACAACTTGCCTTCAGAAGTGGTGAATGCTCCAATACGGGAAGTTTTTAAGAAGAGACTGGACAACCATTTGTCTGAAATGGTATAGGGTTTCCTGCCTGAGCAGGGGGTTGGACTAGATGACCTCCAAAGTCTCTTCCAACTTTATTATTATTATTATTATTATTATTATTATTATTATTATTATTATTATTATTATTATTATTATTCTCAATCATCGCACAGTCAGCCAGATGTTCAGACTGGATTTGGCATTTTGTCTACCTATCGAGTCCTTACCCAGGACCTGGGATAGGCAGATGTGGATGTTTGATGGTATTACAGATATCGTCGCAGGATGGAAGCAGTTCCTAATAAGGCCGCCTTTTGCAATTGACTAATAGCGAATTTGTCAATGCCAATGGTGTTCAAGTGGTGCTCCAGTTGTTTTGGGATTGCACCCAAGGAGCCTATTACTATTGGTACTACCCTTGCTTGCTTTTGCCACAGTCTTTCTATTTCTATTTGTAGGTCTTTGTATTTTGTTATCTTCTCCAGTTCTTTCTCTTCTATTCTGCTATCTCCAGGCACTGCCACGTCCACTATCCAGACTTTTTTGTCTTTCTTATCGACAATTGTTAAGTCTGGGGTGTTATGTTGCAGGTGCTTGTCTGTTTGAATTCTGAAGTCCCAGAGCAGTTTAATTTTATCATTTTCTATGACTTTCTCTATTTTATGATCCCACCAGTTTTTGCTTACAGGCAAATGATATTTTTTGCAGATCTTCCAATGCACCATTGTTGCTACTTTGTCATGCCGCTGCTTGTAGTCAGTCTGTGCAATCTTCTTGCAACAGCTTACCAGGTGGTCCACTGTTTCTTCAGCTTCTTTGCATAGGCGGCACTTACTGTCTGTTGCTGTCTTCTCAATTTTGACTTTGTATGCATTTGTCCTTAAGGCTTGGTCTTGTGCAGCCAGAATTAGTCCCTCGGTCTCTTTCTTCAATTTTCCTGCTCTTAGCCATTGCCAGGTTTTATTATTATCTGCTTTCCCAGCTATTTTTTAATGTTATTATTATTATTATTATTATTATTATTATTATTATTATTATTATTCATTAGATGTGAACCTCAGTCAACTGAAAATTCAAATTGACTGGCGCTGATGGTTGACACGGGTTACTGTCAGCATTCTAGGTATTAATCAGATACCTCCTTAAAATGTAAGATGTTCCAGTAGCGCAGTTTTTTGTAACATTGCTGGAGTTATTGCAGGAAGCTGCAGTTTCTTGAAATATTTTGCAAAGTTTTTGGACATAGTTCCCAGTGCCCCAATGACAATGGGTATCACTGTTACACTGTTGTTGTTATTATATTATTATTATTATTTCCCACTAAGTATTTCCTTAGTGCCACAAGCTTTCTTTCCTCTCTCCTTCCATGTATCAGCCAAAACTCACCACCATGGTACGGTTCTCTGTAGTCTGGATCAGAAGAAACTTGCTTCAATTCCACGATGGTCTTGGTGTACTCAGGAAAGCCTCAAAAAGAAAAGAGATAATTCCATTAATGTTTATTCTTGCAGTAATGGCGTGTGGTGTTAGGGATGGTGCATTAACTGCTGTCTAGAACTCTACTGCTAAAGTGATATCTAGGGTTGCTAATACATGATTTCTTGAAAATTGATGGATAAGCAGCTTGAGAAAAAACCAGGGACTTTATATGATCAAAGCAGTGAGACCTTTGCAAGCATGGAGATAGAAGGAGGTGCAGATTCTCACAATGGAAGAATGGATGGTGAGATTAATGGAGCTGGCTGAAATGGCGAAACTAAAAACTTTGATTAAAGAGAACAAAAATTTGGAGACCACTTTTGAACTTCTTGCTTGAAATGGAAAAAAATGAAATTTTAATTTTGGGACTTGATGACAACTATTCATGATTATGAAAAATAAGGAGAGAAAAAGTGCCAAGAATAAAAAAATAAATAAATAGGAAAGGAGTAACTTCCAACTTTGATACAGTTACAAACATAATTTTTGTACATATTTAATAAAGTATATTTGAAAAAAGAATATCCAACAGTCATATTCCTATTAAAATTAGAATACTGCTTTATATTTAAAGAGAATGTTTAGCACAATTTAAATTCAAATCTCCATGAATCTGCCTCCATACTATTCTTAATTTTGTTTAATCTCTTCCTTTCAGATTTTCTTTAAATGTCTAAAATAAAGTCTTAGAAAAGAGAAAATAAAATAATTCCTGCTTGAATTTTCATAACTGTAATGGATTCAAGGGATGGAAAGGGAAGAGGAGAAATGCAGATTCATCCACCCTCTTAAAATTAAGAAGGAATTCTGATAAAGCACCGGTGTTGGGATAAATAATTTGGGATTATTTATTATTATTCCTCTACTGCCCAGGAAGCTATTTACCTTTTAAGCCAAAAGGTTCATGACATGGCATCGCCTTCTCAAAACCTTCCAGTTCAGCAAGGTAACTTCCGCCAGTCCAGCTTGGCAGCTGCTGCTCCATTTCATTTTCTGGTAGAAACCAGGAACCTATGTCACCAAAATCATCTTGGAAAATCTTCCTGTACTCTTCCAAAAAGTCTGGTGGAATGTAAAGAGAGAGAGAATCTAAGAGGTGTCCATATTCTTTACTATGTACCAGGGGTAGGCAACCTTGGCTCTTTTAAGACTTGTGGACTTCAACTCCCAGAATTCCTGAGCCAGCCATGCTGACTCAGGAATTCTGGGAGTTGAAGTCCACGAATCATAAAAGAGCCAAGGTTGCCTACCCCTGACCCATTGCTGGAATTAGCCATAGCCTGGGACTGATTGGTGGGTTGAGGTAGCCCCAGCCCACTGCTCTCTCTGCATTTGTGGCCTGATTATTTGTGCAGAACGCAAACATGAAATAGTGTTTATTTCTTTGAAGCCAATGCCATAGCAACAACACCTGGCAACCTTGGTAGATTTTCAAAACAACAATCTAAGCAGGATTAAACCTGACTGGGATGGGAAACCACCAGAAAATGTCAGGTTTCAAATAAATAAACAATCGAATACAGGTAGTCCTCGACTTACGATCACAGCTGAGCTCAAAATTTCTGTTGCTAAGTGAGACATTTGTTAAATGAATTTTGCTTCATTTTACGACCTTTCTTGCCACACTTGTTAAGTAAATCACTGCAGTTGTTAAATTAGTAGCACGGTTGATAAATGCATCTGACTTCCCCATCGACTTAGTTTGTCGGAAGGACACAAAATGTGATCACATGACCCCGGGACACTGCCACCATCATAAATATGAGTCAGTTGCCCAGCGTCTGAATTTTGATCACCTGACCGTGAGGATGCCGCAACGGTCTTAAGTGTGAAAAACAGTCATAAGTCACTTTTTTCAGTGCCGTTGTAACTCTGAACAGTCATTAAATGAACTGTTTTGAGTTGAGGACTATATGTAAGCAAACTACCACCCAAGAAGGCAGGACAAACCTTTTTCCGTCTTGTTGTCAGAAGAATCCTATGGATGTAATCAACAGGAGCTGAGCTCAACTCTAATCTCTACCTTTTCTTTCACTTTCTAGCCAAATGGCATGTTGGACAGAAATTTGGATAAAAGAGTCAGTCATCTGACTGCCCATCTTTTATCAACTCTCCAAAAGGTGAGCAGAAGGGGTCCAAATTTGGGGTGAGAAGAAGCCAGCCAAGGACAAAGTTTTTAATTGCATCAAATCAGGCCGTGAGCTTTAGAGAAACATTCTCCCTACCCCAGTTGCAATCCTATAGAAGACCCAGTTGGACGGCCACTACAAAAATTGATGACTTTTCCATTCTCAGCTCTCCTCCTTCATCCCTTGTGGTCATGTGTCCCAGAGTGGAGCATACGCAGACATCCTTTGCTTTCCAGTTACACGTCTATTCACAAACAGGTGGCCACATCTGGGGAAGGATTTGGCAAGAATTCCAGAAGAAGACATGCTTTCCCCGTTTCCTCTGTTCGGATTAGAGGTGCAGGGAGTTGCCAAGGCCAACTTAGTGGCCTGTCAAAAACAAGACGAAATTGTTGTTTCATTTTCCAAAACAAATGAAAAGCATCTCTTACCTGTTCCTTCAATCTCTGCTCCAGCAGGGACCATTTGTACCGGGTTATCCCTCCAACTTTCTGGCCCAGACTCCATATCTGCAATTCATGGATAGAGGCAAATATAATCCCCACCTCACTTCCTGCAAGACCATCTCGTGTCCTGCTTGACTCCCAGCCAGGAGAGCAGGTAGATGGTCCATGTTCATCCCTCAAGATGGAATGATCAGCAGAGAGACATGATTAAGACTGCCTGCTCCAAACCTGAAGCCAAGACTATATAGCCCCCATCTGCCTCTGAGTTTCATTTCTGAAAATAAATAAATAAATGCTCTTGCCTGCCTTCAAAACATCATAAACAATGCTTCAATTATTTATAATTTTATAATAATGTTAAACTGCATTCATAATGTGGGTTTCTCTTAACGTAAGCTCTTAGTCCAACTTTCAATGATCTGTTAAATAATCAGTGGTTCACTATGGACAGTAATTACTGTAATTCTTTATCATACCTTCTGATTAATACTGTGCTGATTGTTGCCATTGTTATTTCCATGCTAACCAGGTTTCAATAATGACCTGATTTTTTTAATGATATAAATTATTCACTTATGTAAAACTAACTAATGAAACACTGAAAATTCTTATCTAACACATGCATATATATAGATATATAGGATGCTCATTATATAAAACTAAAAATATCTTTTAAAAATTATCGGTTAGAGATAAATATTTTGCAGGATCCAGGGACATGTATATTTGCCTTCATTAATAAAACATTTATCTATATATAGATTCAGAACTATTTTGTGAAATATTGAAGATTCTTATCTGTATATATAAAATGGAAATTCATAAAAGAAATATAAATTAAATGTGATATATCTATATCTAATCTCTAGTGAAGAGAATGAACTGAATCAGATTTTCCCAATTCAGCATTATCCAAAAATGTTGGCAACTCCCAGAATTCCTTTGGCCATGATGTTCCAGATATTTGCAATCTCAGCATTTCTTTGGGTTCATGGCTAAGAAAAGCTAAATTAAATAGACTTTATCGTGTATCGGAGTGCAGATACTAGATATTAAATCTGGCATTGGTTCGGTGCCATCAATGTATTTTTGTGTTAAATTTCACGCACTCATAGACACATCACTCCAACACAATCCTTGCCTCAGCCCCTGATTTTACTCACCGCTTTGCAGTGGTCTCTTATGGGATGGCTGGTTTGGAGAAATTTCTTGCGGGTAAACAAATCCCAAAGATTGAGTGGCACAAAATATCTTCTGCTCCTTGGACTGTGAAGTTGGGAGAAGAATAGTTACACCTAGGAGTATCTCTGACCAAGTGGCTTTATGCTGCTTTCCTCGTACAAGTATTGATCGGTGCTTATCCCTTGCCAGGGGTCTCTACCATTCCCCCCACCCACCCATCTTTTCTCTCTGTATTCACATCCTTGTACTTCTTTGCTCTCATTGGTTGAATGAAGGAGCAAGTTTCGTGACTTTTTCTGTGTTTTTGAGGGGGGCAAGGGGGACGGAGGCAGACGGATTTTCCATGTCAGCACAGCCAATGTGTGTGTCTCTGTGTGTGAAAGAGTCCGAGAGAGGGAGAGGGAGAGAGTGTGTATATCACGACTTTGCAATCCCCGAGGGGTGACCAGGTGGCCAAATTTCAGAGACAGAAAAAAAATAAAAGGTCGTGAGAGGAAGCGAGGGGTGTTTATCTCTCAGGAACACAATGCAGTTCACCAAAACTTCCAAGCAAGCTAGTCTTCCCAACTCCAATCAATCTTAACAGGAGACACCGTGACTTCCTCCAAGGCCTGCCCTAAGCCAAGAAAAGCCTAATTTTTCTCACTGCCTCAAACGCCTGCTAACCCAGGTTTATTATTCCCGAGAGCCAAGGCTGTTTACCTAGGATGCTGAAAGAAGAACATTCCAAGAGTTACAGACATAGAAAGCTCTTCCCAAGCTGTTGGACCACAATTCTCAACCAGCTGTGCAAGTTCAAGGGAGCTAGAATTCAACACAGCTCTAGAAGGAACTAAGTTGACCAACTCTACAGTTGCATCGACACGCTGTATTTAGGAAAGGAAAGGTGAGCTTAACAAACACCAGCAAGGAGAAGAGGATTGGATCAGAATCATAATGTGGGAGAGAAAGTGAGCTGGCTGTGCCTATCCAGCACCCAACTGAACTGTGGTGCTTCCAATGGGAGATCTCCAGATATTTACCCACAAAACAAGCAAGATATCCTCACCCCCCCCCCTTGATGCTCACAAGCACCTTCCTAACACAAGGGTGACCTGTATTGAGAAACAGGAGTTGGGTGGGGGGTAGGACAAGTATATAAAAAACAGAGTCTGGTTGCATTGTAGCATTATGCTGTGTAATTAAAACCAAATACAGTAGCTTGATTTTGGCCATGTTGACCACACATTGTCTCTCCTGCACACTTTTCTCCATGGCAAGCAATGAGTGGCAGAGTTTCCCAACCCATAGAGAAGCCAGTCCCCTTGTACTTAAACAGCCCTAAACCACAAACCCACAGAATTGGGCAATGGATTGAGATTGGGCAAGAGACAACAAAAGAGCTCTCCCCACCCAACAAGCTTGTTACCCCTAATTGAGCCAGGAACTAGCCCCACATATGAGTCTCAATTCACCTTTCCCAACCTGGTCCTCTCTAAATCAGCTGGACCACAACCCCACATCACTTCCTTCCAGCCTGGGCAAGGATGATAGACTGCATCTGGGCAAGGCTTGTTCAAGATCAAGGGTGCCTAACTTTGGCCCGACATGATATGCTGGAGGCTAGATCCCCTTATGTTTAGTCTAGAGAAAAGAAGGACTAAGGGTGATATGATACCAGTGTTCCAGTATTTGAGGGGCTGCCACAAAGAAGAGAGGGTCAGCTTGTTTTCCAAAGCACCAGAAGACAAGACAAGAAGCAAAGGATGGAAACTAACCAAGGGGAGAAGCAATCTAGAACTAAGGAGAAATTTCCTGGCAATGGGAACAATCAATCAGTGGAACGGCTTGCCTCCAAAAGCTGTGGGTTCTCCATCACTAGAGACTTTAAAGAAAAGACTGGACAGTCACTTGTCTGAAATGATACAGGATCTCCTGCTTGAGCAGGGGTTTGGACTAGAAGACTCCCAAGGCCCCTTGCAGCTCTATTCTGATTGATTGATTGATTGATTGATTGATTGATTAAGTAGGATGAAGTTGTGGGTAACAACAGTCCCCAAATAAATCTGATTTAACTATAATTCCAACCCAAGTATTTAAAGAAAGCATCTGTCAAATTGAAATCTGCAATTCAGTGGCAACTTCTGGAGGGGTTGGGGGCTACATATAGCCCTGGGGCTTGTGCACCTCTCTCCTACATGAAACCTGAAGTCCTGCCTCCTTACCTCCAAAGCACTATCTGCTCTCCATCTTCCTCCCATGAACAGCCCCTCACCCTGCATTCCAGCTGCCACAATGATCTTTCAGAAGAACTCTTACTTGTAGGCTCATGGCTCCTCTTGGGTTTGAGGGCGCTCCATTCTTTGCCCTTTCCAGGGAATCTCAGGAGCGAGGTGGGTGGGTGGGTACACCAGCCTCTGAAAGTATAATGTGAGATTGTGCAACAGCCCCAGCATTGAGACAAGGAGTGCACAACAGCAACCGGAAACCACAGGGCCCCCACGCCTTACCACAAAGCACAAACCAGGTGCAGTGGAGCTCAGAAATGTAGTAGAAAAAGAGGAGGAGGAGAAGAAGCCAGAATGAAAAGAAACTGTCCATTTGCTCTGCCTGAGTTGGAATGCTGGACTTTTTTCAGCCAACAGCAAATATCTAGGAACAATTGAGGGGGGGGGGTTGTCCATCAAGGTGAAAGAGGTAGATGACCAAGGCACTAGGTCAAGTTGGGCATCTTTTTTTAGGGGGAAAAAGGTCTTAAAAACAAATTGAATTAAAAAAAAAGATAATATTGCAGCCTCTCTTTTATCTGATTCCTGAAACATTGGCTGGACAGGCAGAGAAGAAACCAGATATCTCTATTTCCAAAAACATGATTAAAAAACATGAAATTAGAAAATGGGGTAAAACATTTCCCAATTACCAAATCATCCCCTGAATCTGGCCTTGGGGTTGAGGGCTGGGGGGGGGGGGGGCATCAGTGGCACGATCCATCCAGTTTCTGTTCGTTAGGAACAAACCTTGCAGCCAGAAAATATAATTTGCATTATTTTTCCTGAATGGACCATGTGTAGTGCAGGCATCCAGAACCTTACCCAGTTCTGCACATAAGAGGCTGTCAAAGATTGACCAGATTTAGAAATAAACATAGCACTGCATTCAGCAGCCTTATTGAATTAGCCCATTTTTTGGACTTGTGAAAAACACCCAATTACAAACTAGCAAAAGAGGCTGAATTCACACAACACGTTAAGGAGAATCTAACCAAGATGACTTCTAACTGAGCTTCCCACGTTGTGTGTGGATGGAACCCCTAGTTTTAACTATTGGGATGACTGTGAACACTGCTAGTAATTGCTGTTGCTATATCACAAAGCATTAAAGCCTGCAATTAGTTTCATAACATGTTATCTTAAAAATATGAAAACCGCTGAAACCAAGTTTCAAAAGCACAATTCCAACTAACTAAAAGAGAACTCTACAGTGAGTTTGTTTGTACAGGGCTTAACCTTATACTGATTCACTCCTTTGAGTTACAAATAAATAAAGTACATGTAGTTAAGAACAGAACAACAGAGGTGGAAGGGACCTTGGAGGTCCTCTAGTCCAACCCCCTGCTCAGGCAGGAAACTCTATACCATTTCAGACAAATGGTTGTCCAATTAACTCGATGGCCAGGATGCATGCAGAACACTAAACCAGGAAAAAAAAATAATCCAGGTGAAAATTGCCAAGATTAACATACTGTGTGAATGCAACCAATAAGTTGGTTACAGAGCCAGTTAAGTGTGTTGTGCAGACGCAGCCAAGTGAGTGTATTCTACAGCAGGGGGTAGCAGAGTGAGCCTGCTTTCAGCGGAGCCCATCAAACAGAACTGTTAATTGATGGTATCTGTGGAAGATCTTTCCTGCAGAGATGAAAGAGCAGTCACATAACAAGAGGAATCTATCATTGGATGGCCAGCCCCTACAATGCCTTCAGCGGCAAAAGTTGAAACGATAAACAATGTCTATGGTATCTTCCCCTTTATCAAACCATTATAAGAAGAGAGAAACATGAGCATTTCAGTTGGGTAAATGTAGTTAGCATGGGATTTTTAAGAAGTGCATGTGAAGAAGAGATAAGGTCAAGAATGAGTGAGTGCTGAATTCACGTGAATTAAGTAGAAAAGAGAATGGCCAGTGCAAAATGAATATGTTGTGATGGTTTGGTCATGTATGGAGAGAATGAACAAGGATCAAACTGGAAAACAAATTAAGGAAGATTGGATGAGTTGAGAGGGACAGAAAGGCAGAGGAATTCAAGGTTGGATGGAGTTGAGGAGAACCTCAAAAAGATAAAGAAAAGCAGTGTATGAATATAATGGAGTTAAGGAAGGCCGAAAGATATGATAGTGGAGGTATAGTGAAGGATGTTGGCTTAAACTCAGAGGCATTTATAGGACAGCAGAGATTCAATCACATAGTTGCACCTGCCATTTTGATTTCTTTGATCTTCCTCTTGCCTCTATTTAAATATATTTAGATGTAGCTATATTTCCTTTAAATGTATTTAGATATAGCTCTATCTCCTTTTCCTTTTCCAGTTTCATGCCTATAACTTCTTTGACTTGCTATTTCTTATTCTTTTTCTGTGTTTAGCACAGGGGTCCCCAACTTGTGGGCTGTTGGGGTTTGCAACCAGGCTGTGGAAATGGCCAGCCAGCACGCATGCCCACGCACATCCTCAATTGCGTGAACAGTGGGCAAGCATGCGCGTGCTCCATTCAAGTGAGTGGCAGGCATGCGTGTTTCAATATTATTCTTGCAGTGGGTTTCCATTTTGATAACCATACATCACATTAGCATAGTTTGCTGGGGTTTGAATTTGTTTATTATGCAGACAAACCCATGGAGGTATATTAAACCATGACTTGATGTCAGCTTAATTGGGTCAGCTAAAAACCAAATGGGTGCATTTGCACCACATACTAAATTTAAATAATATTAATCATGATTCATTTTTTTATTCCCCTTGTGCTGTCCAAATTTAATTCAGATGGTTAGTTTACATAATTTGCAAAATCAAACTATGGATTAATTAAATAATCAAGTTAAATGTGCTAGGTGTAGATACAGTCCTCTTATTGTACATGGTCAACCAATAATGATTTATTCAATAAAATATAACCCAAACTTTCTGGTCTAGTAAACTATAAACCAATCTAGAACCTTCTAGATCAGTATTTCCCAACCTTGGCCACCTGCTTGGGCAATTCTGGAAGTTGAAGACCACACATCTTAAAGGTTGGCCAAGGTTGAGAAACACTGTTCTAGATTCTTATGCTATGAAGCCACTCTGTACTCCAGCATATAAATAACCAATGACTTGACTGAGGACAAAAGAGAAGAAGCATGAGATAGAATAAATAATCAGCTAATTGTTATCATTTAAAAATTGTTCCTGCTCATAGGATAAAGAGAGAGGATCAGATCAGATCATTTTAATTAGAATGACTCCAGTCCAAAATTCACATCAACAATGTTCAGCAATTTACTGATTAAATATCAATTAATCTCAATTAACAAAGACACAGACTGCATGTGAATCTAACAATAGTCTCCATCTGAGAATGAAGTTTTTCACTTCTTCTCCTGTTTTCTTTTCAAATAAACTCTTTTCTCAACTTTTTCCTAACCCAGACAAAATTGATTGGAATTTGACTGAAATCATGGACACCATATCCTTCATCCTAACAAAATGATTTCATACCCACTGACACATTATGTCTGCCAATGTCTGCACCACCTCAATTATTATTTTTTAAAATTCCTTTAGTTAAGCAGAATACGCTAAGTAAATAAATAGGGGGTACTGCTACTGCCAAGCAAAGCTTTTGTTTTTTTACATAAATGCCACCAGATCCTACTCGGGCCCATAATAATCTTCAGATAACAGCAACAACAAAAAGCTTGGGAATTTCAGGATATTTCTTTGCTGAGACCGATGGTAGAGAAAATAATAAAAATAAAACAAAGCTAAGATGGGGAACAATAGCAGGGAGAAAGCTGGCCAGAAATAACAAAAAGTAACCTCATCTTATTGTCTCCCAACCATGGAGCATGAAATGATTGGCTACACCGTGGTCCAATGTGGCAGCCATTTTGTGAGGGTGCCCAGAGGTCATTTGTTGATCTAACAGGTTAGTCTCCCAAGTAGACTAAGCTCCCAAAACAGCCTCCCTATCAACTGAACAACAGAGCAGCATCATTCAGTAACATAGCAGAGACAGAATCAAGGATTACAGATGAAATCACTGAGCATGAACTTATAAGCAGTTTGCAATTCCGGTCTTGTTGAGATCTAAAGTGAGTAAATAATTCATCAGGCTTGCCTGCCCTCAGTCTAGGAGGCCCCACTGAAAGCAATTCGCTTGAGCTAAAGAGGGTAACCTGGCGCAAACAAGGGGGCTAAGACAGAAGTTACCTCTGAAAGTGTACAGTGCCTTTCCGACTCCAGAAGCTAATTTTCAACCCATAAAAAAACCCACTTGCTTTAAAGATCAAGCATTGGGTCCTCCTGATTTTTGTGGGGCGCACCCTTCTCGGTTCTGCTTCTTGCAAAAATAAATCAAATGACCCTCCAAGAACACCAACAACAGGTCTTCTTTTGCCCTCATCCCTCTCTGTTTTTCACCCACCGTTTCTCTTGTCCTTCCATTTCTGTCTCAAAAATCTCTTGACTTACCCATTTGTAATTTGAACAAGAAGAGGGGGAAAAAAATGCATCTAAGCCAACAATGCTATTTAAAAAAAAAAAAAAACCTTTCAGAGCCTGTAAGCTTGGTCACACCAATAGGAAACCAGCCCTGGCGGTTTGTGTGACTTCACTTCCCAAAATTAGATGCACACATACACACCACACACACACACATACACACACACACACCAAGCCTTGTTCATCCGGCCCCCTGCGCAAGATCAGCCCTGCCAATGCAACTCATCTGAATGCCCATGGAGATCTAGGCGGAAAGCAGCAGGTAGAGGCGTGCCATGGATTGCACCATCAAGGTAAGTCCTGGAGAAGTTCCTCCATCTTTGTTAGCAGCTGATTCCCCTCGCTTTGTCTCTGTCTTCCAGTTTGCACTGAGCTGGTCTCTGGTTCAGTTCCTCTCTGTCTCATACACACCCAGCTCCAGAAACAGGGGCCCCCTCCGCTCTTTCCTTCTGGTACAAAAAAATTTCCTCTTCCTTCCCTTTCGTGGCGGTTGATGTCTCTGAGTTTAAAAAACCCAAACCAAACCACCACCAGACACTTTCAACTGTGAAGCAGAGAGCCCCTTGCACCGCTAAGTCTGGCCAACCAAAGGAACGCAGGCGAGCAAGTTTTGGGGGATTCCTATGCTTTGTCACAACTGGACACAGAGACGTATCTTTCCCCAAACCATCAAGATGCCAGGCAAGAGATGAAAATGGCATCTCCATGCTAAAACACAGAAGTCCAGGGATGGATACAAAGTGTTGGGGGACACGTCACCCCCAAACTGGAATTACTTCCCTGTGGTAAGAGGTCAGTTCATTTTATTTTTTGCAATTCCTGATGTTATTAATCCCCTTTCAATTTTTGTAAAGCTTTTATCCTTTCCAACAGTAGCTGTTTTTATTCATTCATTATTTCCGACTTTAGCTTTTGATTTTGCCCATTCCTTTTACATTTGTTTTCCTACGCAGCACACATTTTTGACCAGGTTGGCCAAGCAGATGCTGACTTATACAAATACTGGAGGCTTCAAAATTTTATCAGTTCAAGGGCATGCCTTGTTTTAACCAAGCTCCGCTCTTGAAAATAATAATAATAATAATAATAATAATAATAATAATAATAATAATAATAATAACAACAACAACAACAACAACAACAACAACAACAACAACAATAATAGTAATAATAATAAAACAACTTAGATTGGGGGGAGAATTTTCAGAATTAATTGAGAGGAATTTTTCCTCTGATCAAAGTTTGACAATATATAGTTAACTCTTGTCTAAGGATATGCAATTATCTTTGGTTTTGCATTATTATTGGCAGGGAAGGAATCTGTGCTGGGATTTTGACTGTAGTTTAGTGCTGACCTGTTCAGATTTTTAAATATGTGGGAAATGGGGCCTTGCTTAATCATTCGCAAAGAAGAAGCTGGGTTGGTCTGTCACAGTGAAACCAGCAAGCCAGGGCTTTGTTGTCTAAGCTGTTCTTGGAAGTAGTTGGCTTTAAGGGGACGCATAGAGTCCACAGACTCAAGACTAGCAAAGGATCTGGCCTAACATCATCATCTGTCTTCCTTCTCTATGACCTTTTGGATTAGCTGGTGAATACAGCTCTACAACATCCAGGTTAAATAGACCACTGATGTCTTCTCTCACTTGAGGGTTCTGCCAAATCTTGAGAATGATCTTGGGTTTGGCGTCGACTTCAGGATTTTCTGGAATGCTTGATGTGTGAAAGGCCAACATTTGCCTGTTTGTTCTTCTTTCCCTGGTCATTCTGTGGCAGGGACAGATAAAGTTGCCTTAACTTTGCTTTCCATGGGACACAGAAAGAATGATTCAGTTTCCAAACAATAAGGCCCTGCAGTTTTCTTTTCTTCAAGTCAAGCCAAGTTAATCAGACACCACCTCATCCCAGATTCTCTGCTCTTCCTGTTTTCAAAATAATTTGATCTGCAAAAGCCATCGGATGAAGATTTAGCAAGGCACAGATATGAATCGGATCACCTGCTCATGTTTGCAGATCGAGGGGCTGTTAATGGACATTGCAAGGCTAACGTAGATTCAATGAATTATTGCTTTAAAAATGAACAAAAAGAGAAAAATTGCCAGTTTGTTAAAGACACCAGCTAGAGATCAGGAGACTCTGAGTTCTAGTCCCGCCTTAAGAATGAAAGCCGGTTGGGTGACTTTGAGCCAATCACCAGGAGACAGTGAGTTCTAGTCCCGCCTTAGGAATGAATCCAGCGAGATGACTTTGGGCCAGTCCGTCTTTCTAGGCCCAATTCACCTCACAGGGTTGTTGTGGGGAAAATTGGAGGAGGAGGAAGAAGTATTTGCTGCTGCTTGCACTATTTATAAAATTCTTTTTAAAAATGCCATTTTGAATTTTTGGAGCAACTCTACCATTGGGTCAGTCCAAAACTTTAAGAAAGCAGAAGCAGAGGTTACCAACTTTTTAAACACCATGATTGCCTCTCCCCCTCCCGCCCGCATCCTGTGTGCAATTGTTGAGATTAGCAGGTGAGAGAACATTTGACTTTGGGGCTACGCAATGTTGATTCTTCCAAATTGGTTTCTTCTGTCACATGCCAAGTCTCGGCTGGGGGCTATGTAGGAGAGGGGCTGTTAAAATAACCCTCTTTTGTCATGCCAGGATCCTCCCATAATAATTGTAAGGATACATAAAAAGAATGGGCTGGATCTGATCAAAAATCTCCTAACAATTAAGGGAAATTTCTGGAAAATTCCCACGCACAACACGAGCCAAAGAGCAATCAAGGGATCTTGGTGTCCTCTAACAACAATAGTTTCAGAGGCAAACTATTTCTGATTTCCTCCTGAACTCTTTCTCCACGGCTTTGCAGTACCTTTTTGAGATGTTTTGGGGACAATTTCAGGGCACCTTGTAATGGCAAATTCCATAGTAAAACCCCTTCCAAGCAAATCCTTTGCATCTCTTTATAATTTCCTGCACCATGTTATTCCTGATAGGTTGCTTCCAAAAGTTAACATCCACATCCAAAATTTTCTCCCATATTTGGGCCGACAGGGTGCATCAAAAAACACTCAAGGTAATTCTCCTCTCCTGTCTCTTCCCTCCCTCACACAGCTGACAAAGTGAGAAAGAGTCTGTGGCCTAGAGGTCAACATAGCTGCCTAATGTGCAAGCAGCCCAGGTTTGAATCTCAGAAGGGTATGTCTGGCTGATGAGAGATAATTAGCTTGAAATAGCTATTCCAGTCTCCTTTAATTCTTTAGCAATCCAAAAAATATATGTTTTCTGAGGTTTTCTTGGGTGTTTGTATGTAGGTGTTTGGTTATTCGGGTTTTTTCCCGCGTCAAATTGGAAGTGTCTTGGCCTCACAATGTTATTGAAAGACAATTTGTCTTTCAATAACATTGTGAGGCCAAGACACTTCCAATTTGACGCGGGAGAAAACCCGAATAACCAAAGACCTACATACATATATATATAGAGAGAGAGTTTTCCAGTCCTCAGAGTGGTGCCAACTAGCTCTAGAGATTTTCAGAATGACTCCAGATCATGCCAGTCCTTTTCTAGAATAAAATCTGCTGCCCAGCTACCCACCTCCCCCAATTGCAACCTTGACATCCTCCTCCTCCTCCTCCATTCACTTTGACATTTCAGGATTAACTGCAGGAGAAGATGTGATTTCCATTGACCTACTTAACATGATCTCAGACTCCCTTTCCCAAACAAATATCCCCACTCTCGTATGATCTAATGGTTAAGGCAGCGTTTCTCAAACTTGGCAACTTAAGATGGGTGCACTTTAATTCCCAGAATTCCCCAACTTGCTATATTATATAGCATGCAGGCTAAAGAGTTCTGGGAATTGAAGTCCACATATCTTAAACGTTGAGAAATCCTTGATTATAAGGATAAATGATGAGGAAAGGCCACATCTAACTCCATCCTCAGCCATGGAAATCCCCTGGGTGGTTTGGGGCAAGTCATTCTCTCTTATCCCAATCTATTTCACAAGACTATTGTTATGGGGATAAAATGAATGGCAATACCTGTCTAAGCAGCTTTGAGCAAAGGTGGAATATCAATCTACCAAAGAAATAGTCTTCTCCTGTGATGTCCATCTTCAGTTTCCTGGGCGACATGCTCATCTCTCTGCTTTTTCATTTGCTCTAAACCTACATCCTTGAGATTTCTTTGTGGTCTCTCATCCCAGCTTGATCAATTTTTCTAAGCTTACCCACTTAGGGCTGGGAGTAGCCCTTCAGCTGGGCAACCCCTAAACCAGAGGTCCCCAACCTTTTGGGCACCAGGGACCGGTTCCGTGGAGAAAGGTTTTTCCACAGACCTGAAAGTGCGTGGTTTTGTGTGCTGCCTGCATCCCACGGATGGGGCTTTGCTTGTTTGTTGCAGCCCAGTTGCTGACATGCTGTGGCCCGGTACTGGTCCATGGACCGGGGGTTGGGGACCTCCGCCCTAAATAGTCCCTTTGAGCGAAGATAGGAGAGCTTTCCTGTCCCAGGTACCATTTCATACCCAGCCCACTCCCTCCAGTTTTGAAAGATACTTTTCTCCCAGCCTGTCCTGCTTTTGCAGATCCGGCCTCTGCTGACCCTTTGCCCCATCAGTGCCAAAGAATTGCTGGAGCAAAGGAGACCAAGCGCCAGAAAACCTCCAGCCCCTCCTCCCAGACTTAGGATTTCAATAGTCTAACAGGAAACTCTGCGTGCATCTCTCCCATCACCTCCTCCTCCTCCTCCTCTCAATCCTTTATTACAGAAGATGGGAAAGCTATTTAAAGACCCCCCAAGCTAACAGGGCAGCTTCGAGCTTCTCCAGCAGTCCTTATCAGCAGCAACAGAGGCTTCCGCCATTGCAGCCTCAGACTTCCTGCCTCGGCTTCCTGTGCTAGCTGTCCCACCAGCATCTCTGAGCTGTAACCATAGCTCCCCCCCATACCTCTGTCCTCCATCACTGCCGTGTCAGCCTGCCCACCTCACATGTGAGCAACACGCGTGGATTTCCCTTGCTCTGAGCAATGTTCAGGGTCCCAAACACGTTCACAGAGTCCCTTGGGGTACAATTTGCAGTTCTCCATGCACCCATACAGATAAGCACATAGAATCCCATGCCTTACAGTGGCCATCAGTCCTTCATTATAAAACGCAGGCCTTTCCTGCAGAAAGATGTCCTTTAGATGTATTTATTTTTCAAAACCTCACTTTTTTGTCCTTTCTTTAGGTCATTTAACGTTTGCTGTATCCATGTACCACTTCATGCAGCAGCTTTTACATGGGTGTGAAAAATGAATTGTTTTATTTGAATGCTTGATTTTAGAATGTTTGTTCTGGTAAAGTTTTTCTTGGTTTGGCTCTTGAGTTTTCTTTTGCAAAGCCAAGTGATAAACACAAACAATATATTATTATTTTTAATTCTTATGAAACTCTGCCAAATTAGCCCCTTTATCATTGGTTTGTCCTTCATTTTTTCCAAGAAAATATGGTCACCGTGCTTATAACGCTCCTTATTTCTGAGGCTCTCTGTCTCCCGGATAGGGACGAAATTCCCATGGAAGTCTGGACTTATGGTTGTTTGGTGAGGAAAACTCAATGGAAGATTGCACTGGGGGGCTAACTGGGGGGGGGAGTTGTGTACCATGTGCTTACTGACACTAATCTCTATGGCTGCCATCCATCTGTTAAGAGTCTTCTGGGAGTTGCATTAAAAATGAACTGTTTCAGTAGTGTGAGTCTGGCTGATTAGTAGTTCCCCATAATATTCCTGATGTAGCATCCTTTGGGGGCATTGTGGGA